AGCAAGGCTTTCTTTTGCACACTCTTTGTGAACATGTCTGCTGCATTTGAACTGGAAGGCACATACGTAAAGTTTAACAACTTCTCTTCAACCTTTTCTCTCTCTCTCTCAAGAAAAAAAAAAAAAAAAAAAAAAAAAAAATGCCTGAGTTCAATATGTTTGTTACGCTCTGAAGTGACATGGTTTTTGGCTAAAGAAATGGCACCCTGATTATCAACAAATATGCTTTGTGGAAGGTTTAAAAAATGTTCTCCCACAATTTCTTAAAAAAAATTTTGGAACCACAGTACTTCCTTGGCTGCGTGGCAAATTGAGAGGTACTCAGCTTCAACTGTTGACAATGCAGTCGTCTGTTGTTTCTTACTGCTCCATGAGACAGCTCCACCTGCTAGTAGCACCACATAGCCACTAAATGATCGTCTGTCAATCTTATCACTAGCCCAATCAGAATCACAAAACACTTCCAAATTCTTTCCTGTCTTTTGGAAAGTCAGCTTTAATTCCTTGGTCTGTTTTAGGTAACGAAGGATATGTTGTACACCAGCCCAATGTTCCTTGCTTGGGCAATTATTGAATTGGCTCATGTAAGTAGTAGCAAAAGCTAAATCTGGCCTTGTTCCTCCTGCTAGGTACAAGAGCCCTCCAACAGCCTGCCTATATTTTAATGCTCCTTCAGCATTCAACATGTTATCCTTAGTGGCTGTTGTATATTTCATACCTGGATCTAATGGTGTTGATGCTCCTTTAGCATCTTGCATATTGGTTGTTTCCAAGAGTTCACTAGCATAGACACTTTGGTCAGGAGTCACACAGCTATCTTCCCTTCTGCTTATCCTAATTGAAAGAAGGTGATGTATTTCTCCCAAGTCCTTGATTTTAAATGTGGCTGCAATATTATCCTTAAATTCCTGAATGATGAATTCTTTGCTGGGCATTACAAGAAGATCATCCACATACACACCTACAATTAACTCCTTTTCTTTATTGAAGTAAACACAAGGATCTGCTCTGGATCTTGTTAGGCTTCGCTGATTTCAGAAATTTATCGAGGCAGATATTCCACTTCTCTCCCAGACTGATGAAGTCCATAAAGGCTTCTCTTTAGCAAGCAAACGTCTCTATGTCTTTTCTCATGCAGACTCACGGGTGGCTGTTCCATGAAAATTGTCTCACTCAGTTTTCCATTTAAATAGGCTGCAGTAATATCAAGTTGATGAACCTGCCAGTCTTGCTCAACTGAGAATGCTAATAAAGTTCTAATTGATTTTGTTTTTATTACAGGAGAAAACGTCCTCTTTGTAGTCAATTCCTTCGACTTGGGTGTAGCCACGAGCAACTAAACGAGCTTTATATCTTTCCACTTGTCCATCTTTGTTAAGTTTTCTCTTGAAGACCCACTTACATTTCACAACTTTCCTTCCCTCTGGCCTAGGCACTATGTCCCAAGTTTCATTTCGTTTTTAAATTTTCCAACTCTTCTTCCATGGCTAACTTCCATTTTTCTGCATCTGGACTAGTTAATGCCTCTTCTAAAGTTTCAGGATCATTCTGGAAAGCTTTCTTGGGTGTTGAGCCTTCATATTTCTGTTTCTCGGATTGTCAGCTGCACTGCATTCCACTTGTAATTCCATTTATTTCTGGAGGATTTTCTTCATAAATCTCTGAATTTTCCATGATATAATCCTTTGTCCACTTAGGCGCTGAAATTTGTCTTCTGGGTCGAGTCTCTTTTTCTGGTATATCCTCCACCTCCTTCTTTTCCTGTTGAGGGCCTTCGTCTATTACTTTATTTTCAACTTCATCATCTTGAGATGAATTTCTTCCAGAAACTTGTTGTGGGTGCAATGTTATAATGTTTCCAGTCATGGAAGGTTTTCTCTTCAAATATGACATCTCGGGAACAGATTACTGTACTGGTTTCTTTGATGTAAATGCGGTACCTTTCATCTCCATCATACCCAAGGAGATAGCCTTTAGTTGCCCTTTTTGTCCATCTTTCTCCTCTTCTGAACTGGGATATGAGTATAGCATGAGCATAACATATCGATCCAATGATCCAATATGCGCATGTGTTTTATTCTGGGTTTCTTTCCCATCCATAATTCATAAGGGCTTGAATTAGGAACTGAAGACTTGCCTGTCCTATTCAATATATAAATTGAAGTACTGACGAACTCTGCCCATAGGAAAGCTGGAAAGTCCACTTCCTTCTCATTCGAGTATTTGAGAGTTCTGGCCATTTCTAGGACTGTTCTGTTCTCTCGTCAGTTCAGCACTGCCATTTTGTTCTGGTGTATATGGAGCTGTGAGCCTCTGGGAGATTCCATGCTTGTTCAAGATCTTGCGAACGGCTTGGTTGTCAAATTCTCCACCATTGTCACTGAGCATTTCTTTAACCGTATGCCCTAAGTTCTTAGCGTGAGCTATGAAATTTTCAAGCACATCTTTTACTTCTGATTTGTGCTTGAAAATTGTGCTTGAAGAAAAAAAACAGTATCGAAATTTGGTGTAGGCATCTTTGAAGATTGCAAAGTAACGGTATTTCCTAAATGACTGATCAAATGGCCCACAAATATCTGTCGAGAACAATTCTCCAGCTTTTGTAACCGCTTTCCTGGTTCCAAACTTTAAACGGTGGGATTTTCCGTATACACAAGCTTCACATAATTTCATATCAGACTTAATCTTAATATTCAACTCTTTCTCTACAATGGCCTTTACATGCTTTTTATCTTGGTGACCCCATCGTTCATGATAAAGTTGGAGAGTTGATTCATTATTCTCAGTCATTGTTGATGTCAATATGAGTTTCAGGAACTAAGGTCTTCATCACGGCTTTGAAGAGACCCCCACCAGCATTTCTTGTTCCATGCAGAACTATTTCACCATCTATTTTTAAATAGCAGTCCTTAAATGTTGATTCAAACACACTGTTTTGATTTCTATCTTGAGATGCTAACACAGAAAATAGATTTTTACTTATTTCTGGAACATACCAGACATTTTCAAGATTTTTGATTTGATTCATCCCATTTACAATGGTCATTATCTTGATGGTGCCTTTTCCAATTGCTGGTAATGACTTTCCATTTGCCACAGTGATGCTATGAGGAAGCTTAAATCTTTTGAAGTCTATAAAGTAGTGCCTGTTATTGACGACATGCTTCGAGGCCCCATTATCAATAAACCAATCATCAGAATTCGTTTCTGCAGAAAATATTGTATCATCTACACAGCTAGAAGTGTCATATTTGCAGCAACACTGTTTTTACTTTCCCTTGTTTGGCCCTATATGTGGACTGGGTTTCAGCGGTTTTCCATCAGCTATCCATTTCTTGCATGTTCTGACCCAATGTCCTCTCTGGTGGCAATAATTACACTTGCCATTGTTTTTTTTTTTGTTAATAGATGATTTCCGCTTAAATTCCGGATTTGCTATCAATGCTTCCTGATCTAAAGTTTCTAAAAAATTTGGATCTTTCCTTAATTCTCTTTCATGGGTGCACAATTGTGTGGTTAATTCATCTAAAGTTCTCTTTTCATCACTAAGAAGTAACCAACTCGATTTGAAAGTACGATAACTGGGAGAAAGAGTATCCAATATTTTACAAATCAACAGCATTTCTGGCAGTCTGTTTTCTTCCTTATTTTCAAGCCCACTGTTCAGTTCATTCCATAGATTTTTCAATTTTGACAAATGAGCTGCCATATCATCATTTGACCAACTGAATTTGAAGAACTGTAAACATATGTTATAAAGTTGGTTATCGGACGAATCTTCGAATACTTTGTGAAGTTCCAGCCAAATGTCTCTTGCGCTGTCAAATCTCATTACCTTTTGTAAAGTGTCTTCAGTCATGGAGTTCGTAAGAACCATCATAGCGCAATTATTTGCTTTATTAAAAACCTTCATATCATCTCTAAATCTCTTTCGAATCTCTTCGGCGGCCGCATGATCAGGCTCCTCTGGCTTCTTCAGTTTTCCTTCCACGGCTTCTAAAGCGTTTTCGTGATAATTTAATACGAACTTAATTCTATATTTCCAAATAGGCCAATCACCTTTTCCGCATAACGGCTGAACCAATATCTTTGCAGCTTCCATTTTTGCAAACTAATTTGCCGACTCACGTCAGGCTTAAGAACTGCCGTGTTAGGCTTACGAACTGCCGGTAATGTTTATCTCCACTTCGCTCATAAATTTCACCGCACAGTTATATCATGCTGGGCCTATAACCTGATGAAGTCTAACGTTAGGAATGGAGACAAATAAATAAGCAGAGATTCATCTAAATTAACATATATTGAAACACAAAATGGCACAAGTACAGTAAATTCTACATGGTAAAGTAAAACAGTGACAACAACTAAAAAAAAGTTGCTAAGAGAAAAATATAAAAAGCGTGTTGCCACACATGTTGTAAAATACAAATGGGAAATATAATCACAAATAAAAGTTTTTTGCAACAATATATCTCCATTATTTCATCTGAGATGATTACATTAGCACATGCTGAAAAGATTTCCATTTCACTTCGGAAAAACATTTTCAATTTTTCGTAACCAAAATATATATCATTTAGACATTTCAAGCTGTACAGGCTACTATTTATTATTCTTGTGTGCACTGTATGTTTTTCATATTAAATCAGTAGTGTAATACAATTTATAATTGATGCTTTCCTGTAGCTTTCTTAGTTCTTGATATAATATTGCTAAGTTCTGAATTTCACCATTAGGAGTGCTAGAGCTGGTTTGGTCTTGTATGGCAATGCTTAACTGCACTGTAGCTGGATATTAGCTTAACTGCACTGTAGCTGGACATTTCTCTCATAACTGTAGTTAGTTGTATTCCCCAAATATTTAGAAACAAGTGGATGTCTGTTCACACTATGTTTGTTGTATTTTTATTCCAGTCAACATTTATTTGAATGCAATATTAGTTTGTTATGTTTTAATGCATTTGTTTTTAAGTAAGATTTGCATCTGATTTTTTTTTTTAGGTTACACATTTTGATTTTTGAAGATGGCGATGAGCAAGTTACTGAAGAGTGAAAGTGTACATGATGAAGGCAAAACCAGAAGATTTAATAAAATAAGGCCTTCTTGTGACCGATTCTTTACATCCAGAAATTTTTTCGGAGCTCAAATAAATCACGAGACTGAAACTGGTATGATGTCATGTCGTGTACCAGAAGATAATTCTCTTCTTACCAGTATTTATTTCATTCTTTCTGATGGTCTTATTTTGAATGGAGAAACTCTCGAAATACGAAAAATGATTGCTGAAGAAGTTACTAATAATCCTGAAAGGTACACCACTGCCTTTTTGGGAATGCCAGCTGAAGACTTTTGCCAATGGGTAATGATTGCGAACCATGGGCAAGGTGCCCTCGAATTAGCAATCTTAAGTGAACATTTACAGATTGAAATTATTGTAATTGATTGTTTTACCCTGGCAGCAACTCATTATGGAGAAAGTGAAAATTACACCGACAGATTCTTTCTCATATATGATGCCGGACATTATGACCCATTACTTTATGAACAAAATGACATATGGTGGACAATTTTTCCAGCTTCTGACGAGGCCTTTCTGCAAATGGCCCTAGAAGCAGCTCAGAAAGCTAAAATCAATTTGACTCTATATTGTCCTGTTTGCAATGCCCTGTTGCATGGCAACAAAGCAGCAAGAGCTCATGTTATGGCTACAGGACATAAAGAGTTCGAGGAACTTGCTGTTTAACTTACTGTGTAATCTTCTTCAATTTTTGGGCATTCCATTTTATTTTATTTCAATTTCTTGTTTTGTATTAAAATATTTTGATATTTAAGATATGCATGTTGTTATAAACTTGTACTGTTCAAGTTTTAAATTTTTATGCTTTTATTTGCAACAGAAACCTAAATTTTTAAATGTCTTGTTTAACTGGTCGCACGTAATTCGAAGAATTCTGCAATGTATTTGAGACTACTGATCACTTACAGTATTATAATCATTAAGAAATGTTTTCAAGGTCTTTATTATTATTCAAATTAAATGCATATTTTTTAAAAAAAAGTTTGAAACATTTTTTCTATGCCCAGTTACTGCACGGCATTTACCAGTAATATCAGAAATACTGCATTTATTCTGCAAACTAAGCAGCTGTGAAAGTTCATACATTTTACATTTTCACAAGTTATGTTTCTTCTTAGTCATCTTTTTATATTTAGTTGTGTGTACATGGTCATTTTTTAAAACAAAAAGTGATGCTACATTTGATTAACTTTTTAAACATTTTATATGAATATACATTCATCTGTTAAATTGCTGTACAAATATCAGTTCATTTCTTATACAAATGGTATTTTTATACAAACATACATTCACTTACTATATTGTGAACTATATAGATTTTAACTTCTTTGAGCTGTTAGTGTGCTGCACTAGTTATATCAAGCTCTTTTATAGGTCAGGTTTTATTACTTTTAATTTTCAAAAGTAGTATTTTAAATTGTAACATTTTTCTTTTCATTATAAAAACATACTTGTGCCTTAAATTTTAAATTCATTGATTCATTACCTTAACTCTTTGAAATCCAGACCTTTCGCTAAGCTGCATCCTCAAAATACACCGAACTGCTCGAAATACTTTACCAGTTTCACAGCACTTTTCTCCTCTCCCTGTCCATTACCGCAGAAAATAGGTGTGAAGATTTCCAATGACATCCTTTGTACTTTCTAACAAAGATTCCATTAGCCTTTGACCCCTTCTTTAGAAAACATTTGAGGTCAGATCAACAAGCCTTTCTGGCTTTGTTATGATCACACGAGACTTTGTTTGTTCCGCTTTTTATAGGAGGAATAAATGTTTAAAAAAAGATAATCTTTAAATTTTAAACGCTCTTTTTTCTTTTAAAGCTTAAAAGCACATGTACCACAAAACAATCAACAGTGAAATGTCACGATCAAACAAAAGATAAAAAATACTCTAAGGACCAGCTGTCTGCAGTAAACTGATACAATGCATTTGGGGAAAGTGCACCTGCTACTGGATACCTTAGGGGGAGGGAAGAAAAGATTACAATTTCGGCCGTTTTCGGGCAGTTCTGGTTGTTTCAATGTAGGGCCGTGTCAGGCGGATTGGATGTGAAGGAGTAAATATAATGTAATTTCTTAACGCACTAGTTCACAATTAACTTCAAGCTTTATTGGATGCTTTCTTCTTTTTGTTATGTAATTTATCTTGATTGGTTTTTCTGTAAGATTTAAAGTATTAACTAAAATAATATGCACTTGAATAGATCGTAATTCAGTTTTGAATAGAAGCAATGAAACATGAAGTGATATATCTGTCTGATTTATGGACATATTGCAGATACTTTTTAGCCAAATATGTTTCTATTTTTACATGTTTGAAATGAGTTTTACTGTAAAAGTTTTATTTAGGAAGGTTAATGCTGTTAAAAGATGTCTTCAGAGTAAATTTCTGAAATTGCGAGGACAATTTAGTAATTATAAGCAGTTTTGTTGTTTAATAGTAAACTTTATTTTTCTTATGTGCCAAAATTGTTTCATTTTAGTATTAGCTTTAACTCTGCAGTCAAAATAAGTAACTAGACTTGGATTTATGATTTAATGCAGATCTTGAGTATGTTCTTATTGTACAAGTTTAAAAGTGTTTATTCATTGAGTGATTGCATGTTAAACCAGTTTTAAGAGGACTGCAGGATATTTAACTCATATATGTATCATTTAAAATGAAAAAGACCTGCTATATTAATTTAGAAAAGCTGTTTGCATTGAATATCTAGTAGTTTTAATCAATATTTGATTATCATATATGAATGTGGAGTAGCCGATTAGCATGAGCACCATACAGTATGTTAGATCAAAATAACTGCACTGTAACTTAATTTTGGTTTCATTTAAATTTGTTATATTTCAGGACTTAAATGTGTTGCTAAAAAAGCATTTAAAAGTCCTTAATTTTTATTTTCTTATAACATAATTATAATTGAGTTCTGAACTTAAGCCAGCTTACTTCTCTTTATATGTACTGTGTCCAGCCTATCTGCATACTTACGTACCTGTCCATAACTATGCATATTACTTAAATGTTAGTAGTTAACATTGCATCTAGTGTCCGATTTGTGTAGATGTATATTGCTTTTAAAGCATATTGATTTGCCTTTCTATAGGATTTAAATTATTGACTGCAAGAATATCATCTTGAATAGATTGTAATTCAGTTTTGATTAGAAGCAATGAAATATGAAGTGATAATTTTATCTGATTTATGAACATATTGTAGATACTTTTTAGCCAAATATGTATCTAGTTTTACCTGTTTGAAATGAGTTGTATTTGTACTGTAAAAGTTTTATTTAGGAAGGTTAATGCTGTTAAAAGATGTCTTCAGAGTAAATTTCTGAAATTGTGAAGACAATTTAGTAATTATAACCAGTTTTGTTGTTCAATAGTAAACTTTATTTGTCTTATGTGCCAAAATTGTTTCATCTTAGTGTTACCTTTAACTTAATAGTAAAAATAAGTAACTAAACTTTGATTTATGATTTAATGCATATCTTGAGTATTTTTGATTTTCTTTTTGTACAAGTTTAAAAGTGTTTATTCATTGAGAGATTACATGTTAAATTAAGCTTAAGAGGATTGCTGAATGTTTATTTCATATATGTAACATTTAAAATGAAGGAGGCTTGTTATATTAATTTAAAACATCCTTTTTCAAATTTGTTCGCATTGAATACTTGTGTAGTACATATAGTATATTAATATATAATATATAGTATAGTCTTAGCATTTGTTTATCTTATGTGAATGTGCTGTAGCCGATTGGCGTGAGCACAGTACGGTTTGTTAGATCAAAATAACTGCATTTTTGGTTTCATTGAAACTTGTTATATTTCAGGACAAAGGTGTAGCTAAATTAAGCATTTAAAAGTCCTTAATTTTTATCTTCTTATCACATAATTATAACAGAATTCTGAACTTAAGCCAGCTTATTTCTTTTTATATGAACTGTGTCTTGCCCATCTGCGTACTTATGTACCTTTCCATAAATATGCATGCTACTTAAGTGTTATTACTTAAGCTTGCATCTAGTCCACAATTTATGCAGATGTGGGTCCCTTAAATTGGGTTCATAGCTAGTGTTTGCTTGTAAAAGAAATGTGCTGGTGTATACTGGAGATCAAATGTTTAATTCAAGTCATTAGTTGATTAATCCTGACATTCTGCAGTCCTTTTTCCTGATGCTTGAAATGATTTCCATATTTGATGTTTTGAGTGTGTATAAATCATAGTATAAAATTGAATCTCATTTTTTATAAATTTGCTTTACAATTTGTTTTCGTTAAATTAGGCATTGTATTTTTTTAATAATTTCATTCATATTTTCTTTCATAAAGGTTTGAATATTGCTTAATTAAAAATTCTTAAAAGTGCACGGAAAATTCACGTAATACAAAGAATTGTACAATGTATTTTAAGACTGTACTCATCACTTGAAGTATTGTATTCATTAAGAAATATTTTCAAAGTCTTTATCATTATTCGAATTAAATGCACAATTTTTCTTTTTAAAGTTTGAAACATCAGAAATGCTGCATTCATTCTGATGTCCATCAAACTAAGCAGCTGTGAAAGATTGTGCATTTTAGGCTTTCGCATGTTGCATTTCTTCCTAGTCATCTTTTTATATAAAGTTCTATAACTGATTCAGATAATTTTTTAAAACAAAGAGTGATTCTACCTGTGTGTGAATGTTGACTTTTTTAAACATTTAATGCAAATGTATTTTTACGTGTTATATTGTTGTACAAATGTACATTCATTTGTAATACAAACGTATGTAATAAAGTTTTGAATATTACTGGCAGTTTTTAATTACAAATTCTTAAAAGTACATAGAAAATTTAATATCTCAAGACTTTGGTTTAGGTCTCAAAAATAATTTGTAGTAGATTAAAAAGAGCTTGTATGTTGTTTGTAAACCATTCATTTCATGAGATTCAACATTTAGATATGTATACAACGTGAGTGCTTCTTCCACTCGCATTAAAGATGTATTCCTCACATGTTTTCAGATAAGTGTTCCATAGATTTACCTTAATTCAACTATAACTGTTCATTTACATGTTTGTACGTTTTAGTGTTACTATGAGACAGACTTTTGCTACTAATTATGGATTAAACACAAAAAACCGCAACTATGACACATGGTATAAATTATGAACCATAGTGTATAAACCACGTCGTCTCACATATGGTGTTAATTTCACTGTGCAATACAGATTTTCAGATAAAGAATGAAATGGCTTTAAGTGGCATAAAATTATCTTTTTAAAATATTACAAAAGATGTACCATTTGACTCTTGAAAGCTTTCAGTTTCCGAAATGTATTAAGCCAAACTTTCAAAAAGTTGAATAAGGATGTGAGGGGTACTTGCATAGAATGTGGAACAGTGAGGGTTCAGGGAGTTCCTTGGTCACCAACTTTTGGTATCAGTCTACCAAGTAGTGGTAAACTTAAAGTGACTCTTGAGGTGAACTTCAGCAAGACCTATTTTTGGATGTGACTAAAAAAAATTTAAGTTACTTCATCTGAAGTATTTTATAATTGTTTCTTACCATTTGAGATTTAAGAAGTCAATGTTAATTTGTTTCTGTGTTTAAGGAAGATTTGATTTAATCATTTAATCTGAATGTTTTTGCCAGCCTTGCTAAAGATTTTAGTGTGTTTTATGTACCTAGATTTTATAGGTGTATTCATCTTTCATGTTTCTTCCATTTATTTAGTATGCCATTTTATTATAGAATTTTTATTTTTTTTCCTTAATTTCTCTCTATCCATTAAACGGGTATTTACTGTTGTGTTTGCACATCACACCTTATGCCGCATAGATGGTAATGTACTATAAAATTATGCAATTAAAAATGTATATGGATTTACGGGATAGTAAAGTGTTCACAGGTTTGGAAAATATGACTGATTTATTTCTGAAAATAATCTTGAGTACTTTCATTTTCTAATTGTTATATTTATTCACAAAATTATATTAGGATGTCTAAGAAAAGTTTTATATTTTACTGTTTGATTCTGCACATGATTAGTCACCAGCGAATGTATGCTTTTAGCGCACTTTTATCCCATTTTCCTCATTATATAATATCGAATTTTTTCGTAAATGTATGCCTTTTTTTAGAATTAACAGCTGTAAGTGTTAGGGCTGGTTTCAGGATATTGCTTAGTACTCTTAGCATACAGTGTGAAAAAGAACATTCAGAGTTCATTGCTTTTCTCATTTGTAATTATATGCAATAATTACAGATATATTTCGGCCGATCAGTAAAGTTGCTGAACACTGGTAGTTCATTCTGGGGCACGAATCCCAGCAAACGGGCTGTCTACATGGGTGTTTTCGTAGTTTCTCCCATGTGTAACATGTATACTAGTCAGTTTCCATCAAAAAGTCCTCCACAAAGGCATCCCTCCTCTTAGATAGATAGTCCTGGAAAGCTTTGCCTTAATCAAATAAATCTGACAGCAGAGACATTTCAAAGGTATTCTGAAACTCTCTTTTTTATAAATGTTTGAATATTCTTATTTTAAATTAATGCTACTTTTTTAAGATGTTATTAAATTTAAGAGCAAGTGTAAACTAATGTATACATAAAAAGCAGGTTTTTAAATTATTTGTGCAATAACTTTCCTCAGTGCCACAAAATACAAGTTCTGAATAGCTTAAGCTTCAATTTTTCTGCTG